TTTCCAACACGTCCATTGGGTCAAATTTTTGTCAAGTTTATGGATATATTTTGAAGATAAGCACATATATGGTTTATTTGAAGAAGAAGTGAACGTCTAAAATAAATAAATAAATAATAACATGAAGAAAAGAAATAAAAATTATTATTTTTCGAGTACAAATCACAATTGGCGCCATGGTCCAACACCTTAACTTACTTCTAGTGCAATATGTGGTTCCCAACAACGCTTGGGAACACTTCGTTCTCATATCCACGGGAACTCGTTCCCCTCCCTTGAACGGGGGGGACGACCCTGGTAGCCGCCGAGGTGAGCGACAAGGCGAGCGCTTGTGCTGTACAATTAATACCCAATTTCAGCCTGTTGAATTCGTGGAAACGAGATTTAGGGCTCGGTTTTTGATATCCGCTTTGGCATTCGCTCCCTCCTTGAACGATAAACTATTCGTTATTTCACGGTCCCCAACCGCATGTTTACTAGATAATCGCCTTCACTTGCTTCCATCTCTTAGATCGTCTCCAAGGGACAGCGGTTTGTAGAGCCGCAGTCATGTTGTTGCAACATCTCGTGCAGTTACCCACTTCACGGATTTACCACTGCAAGGAAGATCCGCCGGGCTCATGAGAACTCCCCTACCAAGGGTCTCAGTACTGTTTAACCACGAGCGATCAATTGTTGCAGCGACAAGCCAGGAATCTTGCTGATCGAGCTTGATTGATCAGGCAGACAGACGTCCGGAGCACGACAATGTGACCGTATCGCACACTGTGGGAACCATGGATCTGAGCCATGGAATCGAAGGACCTGGTTGCGATAGTCGGAACTTTGCTCCACTGCGGTGAGTGGTTGAATCACACGATGCGAGACGATTCCGGGAAGAGAATATATCGAGGGGATGCTTGCAGTGCTGACCCTGAAAGAACGATTCCAAGCACCGAATTTGCGGATCGAACGAGGCCAGAGACAAGCTTTACCAGTTACCATGCACAAGACTAAGATCCGGAATGTGCTTGTGTCTTTGAGCAGGAGAGGCCTGTAAAATATCTGTTGATGAAGGCTTTTATCTTATTAATCATTCTACTTATGAATTTCACAACATTTGATTTTGCATACACTGTAATAAATGTATAGCATTACCACCAATTTGCAGTACTCTAAACTATACAATAATGATATAGTGGTGGTTGTCGGTGGATATATTACATTGAATAAGAGTTACTTGTACTTATTTATAGTAATTGTTTTTCATTGATTTCTTTTGCAGTTGTAGTACACATGATAAATAGAAAAATAAAATAAAATGAAAGCACAGTATACTTAACTAATTGTTTATATTAATTTTTCATGATTTTAGTACTAAAAAAAAAAAAAAAAAAAAAAGTATTTTTGTTCATGCAATTCCTCTGTAGATTTATATTAGTTACTGTGACAAAGTATCAATTTTACATATGTCATACAACTTTTAGTTAAAGTTCTCACAAAACTACAATCCTGCAAACCATGATTTTAAATTAATAGGTATTATTTTAGATCTATATCTTTTTTCTTTTCTTTTCTGAAGACCATTTTAAGATTACAAATGTATTTTAAAAGCTAAATTTATATTGATATCTTCTAAAAACACCTATAACAACTTTAAATAATCAGATTCTTTATTTATTAATTTATTTTTATTTTGAATGATTGTTTGTCTTTCACCATGTTTGATATCACATTTGCCTTCAAAGATATTTGCATGATTGTACTTTAAACTTGCTTGTCTTATTTTACCAATTGATTTATAATCATATCACATGGTTGTTAAGTTTAATAGCAAAGAGTCATTGTTAATTCTATATTTTCATATTTTTTTCAATATTTCTTTTTGTTTACTGATATTGTTACATCCAATTTTTTTTGTTATTGCCAATATCGACTGAAAAAACCACATTAGAAAGATAATTGATAATAGTGCCATTAAATAGTTTAACATTATTATTAGAAATTGAATGAAATTTATCATTTTAAATTAATCCAATTCAGATATATATTTAAAAGCTCAAAATAGTGAATTATACTGTAAATATTATAGTAAGAATTTTACAATATAATCTATTTGTTTAATATTAATGAAATGTTATTGAATGTTGTCAAAACCAATTTTTATTTATGGAAGTGAAGTTATTCAATAATTATTAAATGAAGACAGCACAAGCTATTAAGTTGTAAAGACTTTTGTTCTGTTATAACATATTTCCATTTTTATCTTCTGAAAAAATATCAATTTTATGTCAATTCAACATATTGAAATTTTATTATTAATTTATCTCATGTGAAATTTTAGTTTCTGAAATCACAAGAGTATTTGCAATTAACTTTTTGATGCTGTATAATAAATTATGGCAAAACATGATTTGAAGATAACGTAGCTATTTCACACTTAACAAATCACATCATATATATTTATGGTAATGGTGAAGCTAAGTTTACTTAAATTTTATATTTCTTTATTTTTATTTAAACTTGTGACATAACTATAAAATATTTAAGTACATCATATGAAAACTTTTGAATCTTTTTTATATTTTTTAATCAAATTAAATAAATTATATATATATATATATATATACATATCAATTAACGTTTTAAAGAGTATTAATTGATTTGTATACAATTTGTAAGACTTGGTTGAGATGAATCAAATGTATATTGCATTGCAATTACAGAGTAATACTAATATATTTTTGGAGCATTAACTACCTAACAAGAAAATAAACCAAAAAAGAAATGAAATTCGTTTAAAAGTAAGCTTTTACAATATTTTTAAGAGGGATTTAGGTGAATTGTTTATTTGTTATGACTTTGTCATTTTTTTAATATTATAATTTTTATTTTTATATACTGCAGGAAAGTATATTTAAAATATTTACAAATTTGAATATATGCCAATATATGTTGAAATTGATGTAAACTAATTTGCAAACTGCAACATTTTGGCTACATATATGGAGCTCTCAGAAATATCTACAAATTTTGAATTAGTCACACATTAATTTATGTACATATTTTTGCAAGTAATATTGAAAGTATATATATATATATATATATATATATAATCAAGAAGAACTGATATCAATGAAATAATTTAATTTTTGTGTTTACATAAACATATTCTTAAAACTGATTCAATTGGTAACTTTGAATAAAATTTAGTCAGTTCTGTGGACATTATAATTTGTTTCTTATATAGATAACATTCATGATCACACAAGGATAAGTTGAAATTCAATTAAAAAACTTCAAATATTAAATATATAAATATCTCCACCCCAAACTACATGATTTTAAATTAAAATTTTGACTTTTTTATTTATTTTCTAAAATCTACACAATTGACACTGTTTGCGATTTTTTGGGGATTGATATAATGTTTTATGTGATGAGAAGTCATTGACATCAAACCAGTTTCATGTTACTATGAAGGCTTTTCCTTACTATGCCTTAATAACCACTGAATTGCATTGATGTTCAATCAATGTATTCAAAGAGGGTGGATCAAAATCAACACATGGAAAATCCAAGTACCTCCCTCTGAGAGAGCCTTTTTCCATCCTATCCAATGATAAAACACATGCATTAAGGTAACAAAACTTGAATCAAGTTACTGTCCTGTGTTAACAAGTACAACCCAAAATGGACTTGCATGAAAATTACCATCAAATTGGACCCCCCCCCCCTTTGTTCCAATCCCCAAAACCTCTAAAAAAAAGTTTCCTCACACAAACCCATGTTGTAACAATCCACAATTGTTAGCTACCATTGTTGCTGCATAACAATACAATTGTTATTGTTATTCCACTCCATACACAAAACCAGTAAAGGAGGTGAATTGTTAGTGTAATTTGTCCAAAGTGATGAACATTGACCTCTTTTGTTCACTTGAAGCCAATTTCAAAAAACATTACCAAGTCACATACTGCTCAGTAAAGACATTAACTCACACATGTGGGGGCAATTCTTCAGATTCTCTTGGTTCATGAAGCGGTGATAGCTCTGTTCCTGCATATGAAGAAGCTCCCGCCCAGTATCCATTGCTTGCTTGGAGGTGGCCATGGATATCTGGATACGACAGCTAATCTCTCCCTCTCTGCATGCAGCCTTCAATGGTGCAAGGCAACACAGGCACCATCATCTCCCAAGGACAGCAGAAGAAGAAGAAGAAGAAGCAGCAGAAACAGAAGTCTCCATTCTTACATCTAGATGTTTACTCAGCCAACAAGGCAGGAAAAATAAAATATTATTAAAATATAAAACATTGAAATAAACGAATCACTTCAAGCAGCAGTTTCATGATGGTAGTTGTGCCATGAGTAGGGCGATGGAGAGCCGAAATGGCGGAGCCCTAGTGATTGGAGCTACAGAAGTTATACTTTCACAAATCAAGGCAGGCGTTGTCAAACTTTTTCTATCATAACAACTGGGGGGTCATCAGTCGGTGCTTCGCAGCTTGAGTGTTGCTCTCACCAGGTTTGTGAGTGTGCAGGCAGAAAGTTGTGGTCAAAGTCATGCATCACATACAACGACAGGAACGACGCCAACGGGTGTGTGGAACTGTGCAACGAGGTCTGAGATTCCGCCGCTTCCGACGCAGACATTTCTGTCTGTGACTAAACCAAGGTTGGCACGTAGGTGATGACACAGTTCGTGTCTACACAGACACGACCGTCGGAATGGGGGGGGGGGTGAATACATGGATTATACTGGTATGTGGAGAGCGATTACGGCTACTAAATAAGCCTGTCACTTGAAGTACCGTGCTATATTTAGGGGGAGGAAAAGGACCAATTATAGGTACGCGTGGCATAAAATTTGAGTTTGAAGCTGGCTCAGCATTGCAGGGAGAGGGGAGCACTTCAAGCGAAATTAGTGGCGGGGCTGAATTAGCCAGTAGCAATGAAGAGGCCGTCGCAGTGACTAATTAACCATAGCCGCCACCAGAGCGGTCCTTCTCACAAGACCGTTTGACCTCGGTCCGGTTTGCCAGCATTTCTCCTCCCCCAGCGCCCCTCCCACCTTCCTATAATGAGCTCTCCCCTTACTTCATTTTCACGCTGTGTGAAACACTCTACAGGTGGTTGAGCGGTTTCTGCCGAGAAGCATACTTAAATTTGTGCTGCTACTTTTCGTTGAGTTGCTTGTATGTGAGAGTGCCCACCTCGTGCGAGGTCTCTGGTGGAGTTAGAAATTTCGCGGCGACGTGGGTTGCGTCTTGCCATAGACAACAATCCGGGTGCTGTGCTCGTTTCCAGGGGTGATTGCGAAGCTGGTGTTTTTAGACCTGGTGGATTGTGAAGCCTTGACGCTGGTGTCGTCTGTAGGAGATCATTGCGAGCAGTGAAGCATTTCGGCTGTAGTAGCTGGTGGTGGAGCTGAGCTTTAAGGTATGGCAGGGGGAGGGCCAGTGGCCCCGGCGGGTAAGGGCGGCGAGGATCTTAATCACCATGCGCTTGAGCAGCTTCCTGGCTTAGCTTATTGCATCAACGACAATCCACGATGGCGTGAGTATTTTCACCATGTCCTGACCTTATGCTGATCGTGATTATTCCACACCGTTTACTTCGGTGGCGGGTGGATGCTTTGTATGCCATTCAGTACAGGTCTAGATATCGATGACAGACTTTGCCATTGCCCTTCGAATCAGTTAGAAGCGCAATATGCTGGTTCCACTATATCGAATGAGCTTGACCATAGTGCTCCGTGTTGAAGATAACGAGTCGGCTATCTGGATTGTTTGTTCACTTGCAGCGGAGGCCATAGTACTTGCGTTTCAACACTACCTGACGATGGTCGGGACTGCTGTGTTGATACCTTTGCTTATCTTTCGAGCAGACACTGGTGGGACTCCAGTGAGTACCGACACCTCCTCGTCTCTGCATGTAATGTAATTTCGAACTGCACGTTAACGACTTTTCTCGGTGCCCTGCATTAACTGCACAGGCTCTCGATTAAGAAAGTTGACTCAGCACCACGAGATTGCGTCCCAATTCAGAATTGTGGCAAGTGAAGTACGTTTTTAGCGGCAGCCACTGCAGACAGTGGAATAATTCGCACTAATCGTGAGAAGGTACTGTGTTTTGAGAATTACCAACGTTATCTTATGTACATGTCGCAGTTTTACACTCACGACTTGGTGAGAGTCATTCAAACAGTGCTGTTCGTTTCCGGTATCAACACATTCATCCAGACGACACTAGGCACCAGACTCCCGGCTGTCATGGGCAATTCGTTTTACTTCCTGGCGCCCACCATCTCCATCATCACGTCTCCCAGTCTCGCCTACATCGACGACCCTCATGAAGTAATCTAATCTCCCATCGATGTGCATGCACCGCCAACTCTAGCTCATCGAGATTAAGCATTCACCTTCCGTCTTCTTGTACTGTTAAGTATGCAGTTTCTTAAACCCTGATACTGACTTGCAGAGGTTTGTTCGTTCCATGAGAGAAGTCCAAGGTGCGTACATTGCGGGCTCGGCCTTAAACATCATCCTTGGCTTTAGTGGACTGTGGGGCATTGCCGCTCGGTAAGAGGCCACCCACCAAATCTCACCCAGTTCACGTGAGCATTGTTTTGTAATGGTATTACGTAGGTCTCTTTCAAGCTATTTCCGTTTACTGAGGTGAGATACACAAGATGAATCCCTCTCACACGAGTGCAACTTATGCAGATTCACAAGCCCAATTGTGGTGGCCCCTGTAACTGCACTTGTAGGACTCGGGTTATTTGAACGTGGCTTTCCAGGGGTATGACTTCTGCTGACCTCCTCCAAATATGTATTTTCGTCTGAATGTTTTTGGTGGCCAATGCACTCAACCCAATGAAGCTGGTTCATGAATTGATCGTCGGTGCTACGCAGGTCGCTAAGTGTGTAGAAGTTGGAATACCTGCTCTACTCGTTATCCTGCTGTTTTCCCAGGTACGTGTACTAAATGGATTCTTGGATATGTCTTCACTCCACGTATTTGGGTATGGCTCTACTATTCCTCCAATGCCTGGATTGAGCAAGAGGGATTCGACCCCTCCAGCCCTTCGTTTATATTGAATTGGGCTCACTTTGTTGCAGTATCTTAAGCACTTTCACTACAGAGACGTCCACTTCTTTGAGCGTTTTCCTATCATAGTCGGCGTTACGCTAGTATGGGCATATGCTGCCATCCTCACTGTTGCCGGCGCATACGACCATGCCAGTACCCTCGGGCAACTCAACTGTCGCACAGACAGATCTGGCCTCGTCAGTGCCGCCCCATGGTGAGCGTTCCGATGAAACTTAAATGCCCTCGATTTTCGCACGTTCTGCACACATTCGATGATGGTTAGTGATTAACTCGGTAGAATGAACGTTACTTTTGCTACAGGGTTCGTGTGCCGTATCCACTCCAATGGGGAGCCCCTACCTTTGACGCTGGCAATGCGTTTGCGATCATGATAGCAGCGTTTGCAGCGCTTGTCGAGGTTAGTACTCCCCCTGATACCACATGGTTTGTGGTTGTTGACACTACTGTAACTTAGAATTTACTTCTCTCGAGGAACGTGTTTGTCCGCAGTTTCTTGACCATCGTGCACCTTCCGCTGTCGGTTGAATTGTGGGCTTTTTGCAGTCAACTGGAGGATTCTATGCAATCTCGCGCCTAGCCGGAGCTACTCCCCCACCTCCTCATGTGATCAGTCGAGGTATCGGATGGCAGGGGATCGGAGTATTACTTAATGGTGTTTTCGGCACGTTCACTGGCGCAACTGTCGCTCCGTATGTGCTCTTGCACCCTCGTCAACGCTGTCTCGCTAATTTTCTAAACTTTGCAATCCTGTGGCCATATCGAAACTAACCTGCCCTGACTTTGCAGTGAAAACGCCGGATTGATTGGACTCACACGAGTGGGAAGCCGTCGTGTGATTCAAATATCTTCAGCTTTCATGATTTTCTTTGCACTCTTCGGTAAGCACTATCATCCGAAACTAGGATTGTATACCCAGTGAGCATGCTTAATGCAATTAAGTATATGTTCATCTGAACCGAAAATGCGATGCTTCCCTTGGTTGTGGAAGCATTGATTGCTCGCCCAGATTAGAGTTCATAGTGAAAATGTTTCACTTGATTTCGCTCTGCAGGGGTCAAGTGTGAACGTGCGTCGAATATCCCTATGTAGAATTATCCCAATTTGGCTACTTCTTGATTTCTAGAAACACTTTGACTCAACTTCCTTATGTATCTAGGTAAATTTGGAGGTATCATTGCGTCGATTCCCCAGCCGATAGTTGCTGCCATTCTGTGTGTCACTTTTGGTACGGTTGGTAAGTAAAATGCACCCTTCACAGGCACCATAGTTCCTTTGGCATCTTTTTGCGAAGATTAAGCCACACAATGCACCAGTGGTGGATTCTCTTCTGTCGGAACTCTTCGTATGGCGTGACGCGATATTCACTGTTCGTGCATTTGTTGACTGCAGTTGGAACCGGGATCTCGCAACTACAGTTTGCAAACATGAACATGACTCGTAATATCTTCATAATTGGTGTCTCCATCTTCCTTGGCCTCTCTGTGCCAGAGTACTTCAGAGAATTTACAGTGCGTGCTGGGCATGGTCCTGTCCACACTGGAGCTCGATGGGTATGTCCTAAACAGAAATTTCTTAGATGTAATTCACTGTATACTCGCTTTGTACTCGCTCTACTTATCCTGTTATATTTGGTACTCACCTCACCGTTCCATGCCATGTATCAGTTTAACGACATCGTGAACGGTTTCTTCTCTGCGCCGATAATTGTCGCACTCATCGTATCTGCGTTTCTAGACAATACTCTAACCAGGCATGTTTCGAAGAAAGACAGGGGTATGTTGTGGATGCGGAAGTTTCGAGTCTTCAACTATGATCCCAGAAACCTAGAATTCTACAGGCTCCCAATGGGACTGCACAAATTCTTCCCTCCGTCATAATCATCTACGTGCAATAAGCTCTTTTCCAATTTTGCAGTGCCTCTTTGCACAAATCTTTTTTCCACCACCGTTCCGATTCCACTTAAACCCGGGTAACAACGCTGCATCTTCCTTGATGCCGATCGATGAACAACTCATCTCGGTGTAGCATAGTACCATAACAATATACTGCGGACAAAATCGTTTCATTTTAAACACATGCAGACAGAAATAGTGTAGACAATTGCAAGCCGTTGTAAAACATTTTGTTCCGCAAATTGATAAAGAGATTGCAACATACCCACAGTATCTACCCATCTCTATCTGCTTTTGACAGGGCAAGTTGATTTCTCCTTCATGTCTATCAGGATATGTACCCTGAACCAATTTACCAATTCCATCTCTAATCCATTTGTAACATTCACACCGCATACAGTCCTATTCTTCTTAGTCTCCACCACCCTGCCTTATACTTCCACATCGACGCCCGTTTTCTAACAAATAGTGCCAGTGAACATGATCCTGTAACCTGCCATCAGTACATCCAGTTTCAATGCAGCAGTTACATATACGTATAATAATATTCTTGCAAAATCTGTCACATGATGGTGTTCGAACAAATCCTCCTCTGGAGTCGAAAAGCTCCAATTCGGTCCCGTATCTTTCAGTCCGTGTCTAAAATATCCTGGCAACTAGCATGCTAGTTGCCATATGTATACCGCCCCCACTCGCTCAATATTCTTATTTTAATTTTGAGGCTGTCCTCATATTCGAAGACAGCACCTGTACGATTCCGTTTTCTCAGCCAGCCACCACTGCTAATGCTCTTTTGGCGAGATTCTGGAACCTCCAAATAACAGTGTAAACTAATCGACATAGACTTTGACAATGGACTGTAAGTCAGCTCGAAATCCAAAATTGGTTGATGTTAATAACGCTGCTTCTGCAGAACAGGTCATTAAGGATTGAGTTCGTTGCAGAAAGAGTAAACAGCATCAAGCTTTGCCGTACACTGTAAAAATTCACATTATTGGCACTGTTTAAACACCCATGTATCACTCAACTTAGTGCTGAGAACCACTTCACAATGGGGGGTTCAAACATGGCTTTTTTGGGTGATATTTCACACATGATGAGATCTTGAAGTATCCACTGATATTTCAAAATATCACTTGATACTTCACCAAATCACCCACCTTGTTAGGTGAGTGATTCTGAAATCAAAATATCAAAAGAAGGCCTGGTGGTTTGCCTAGTGGTTTCCCTCTTTGACTCCATACCACATTGCCTAACATCATGCCTCGGCTTTAATGGCAATATTTTGGATTTCATATTTTGAGTGATCATGGAAATATTAGGTGTTGAATCCCAATTATTTGGTTTTGCAAAAGTGCCATGTTTGAACCCCCCTATAATGTAAGTTTTGGAGAAATAGTTTTGGTAAAGTTATTTATCAACTTTATTATAAGTGAAAAAAAATTGTATGTTATGATATTTCTTTGGTGTACATAAAAGGTCATTTGTTCATGTTAGATAGTGTGTTGTAGTGTGGTCACACCATGAAGGACAATTGGGTTTGTGACAAGGTGGTGACATTGCAAAATCTTAAAGAATTGTAATTTCAAGTCTTTATGTGAATGCAATACTTATACATTAATACAAATAAACAAAAAATATCAAGATTGAGATAATATTTTTGAATTTTTGTACTACTCCTTATATGGTATCTTTTTGTATTACATGCTTTTGTATCAATATTTAATTTAAAAAAAAATATTATTTGTAATTTGGCATCATTGGTTAATATTTATTCTTCATATATTATGATTGATACCATATGATTTTATTATTGTTTATGATTTTTTTAGAAGTTTCATTAGAAATAAATAAAAAAATTAATAATTATTTCATTCTTTTAAGATTGTTATTGATACTGCTACTAAACAATCAAATTAAAGTACTATAGGATTTAGGATTTGAAGTTTCAAAGTAGTATGAAACTTCAAGCCTTTATTTTTTGTAGTTAATATATTTAATAGAGAAGAATAAAGATTATATATATATATATATATATATATATATATTTATATATATATATATATATATTTATATATATTTTTTATTTTTAATAATAGATTGATGTAGAGAAGTTGAACTTAGTTGAAGCCTTACTTAGGAGTTTTAGTCCAAAAGCCATTAAAGAAAGCAATGAGATAGAATGCATAGTTTTTTCTTACATGAGCAATATTATCTTCCAAAACTTATATTAGATCTATCTTAATGAGATGTTTTTTTACAAAAAAATTAAAAGTCTTGTAAAATAATTTCTTAGTTTGTTAAAAGTATATATTTTTAAGGCCTATAATATTTTTCAATTATTAGAATCAAGATGGAAGTTTAAACATTTAAACTTGTAATAGAAAAATATTTTGGTTTATTTAGTGGTGCTTGCTTTATTTATACTATCTCCAAATGCTAAGGCTTCTAAAACCACAATTCCTTCATCTTACAAGAGATTTTTGTAAGTTTTTATTTATTATTTATTTTTTATTGTGGCCTTTTGAAGTTAAATTCTAGATATTGAGACTCTCTCAAAAATAATTTTTAAGATTTTATTAGAATGAGTTTAAGATTTTTAAGATTTTATTTAGAATAGGTAAATTTTAATTTAGTTCCTAAAAATATTATCTTTGAAGATATCACACACAAGACAAGTGTATATAACTCCATAAATATACATAACTCCATAAATAAGTTGGCACTAAAACCTTAATTAGTATTATTTTAATTGGATTGTAAATTGAGTTTTATTATTTAATATTTTTTAATAACTTAATAATCAAAATAATTTATAAAAAATTAATCCTTTATTTATGTATTTTTTTCATTATTGTATTATCTTAAGATAGGTCTTATAAGAATATTTTAATCATCTAATATATATGTAATTACATATTTATATTTTTCTTTGATATAATTTTAGTAGATATATTTTCATTGTTTGTAATTTTTTTTTTTTGTTTATTGATTTTTAATTAAAAATATTTAATTTTTTTTAGATTCATGAATAATATTCTACTAATATTTTGATTTTGATCATACTAAGATTCTCATCATTTATTCAAAAATTGTAAAAACTTTGAAATTTTTTTGTTTTTAAATCTTGCAACGATCAATTTGATAAGATTCTTTTTAAGATAATATTAACCATTGTGCCAAATTAGACTTTTCTTTAAGATATTGCTGATATCACTATGGTTTTTGTTACTACCATTACAACCTCTCATTTGCCATAAGCTATATTTATTCAATATTTTTCAAACCAATCAAATTTTATTTGTTCATTACATTTCAAATTATTTGATTGAACAATTTTTTTTGGTTGGAATAAGAAAAAAACAAAATTTTAAATGCCAAGTAGGTAGCGAGTTGTGATGATCATAGCAAAAAATGTAGTGTCATTAGCAACATCCTTTATTTATTATATTTCAACATCTTAAACCATTTTATATTAAGTCCATGTAAAGTAATGTTTTCATTCTAAAGTTGGAATTCTTATTCAAATATGTTGGCAAGATATGCTACAAAGGTGATGTCTTTGTTACATGTAATCAAATCAATTTGCATTTGTTGTTGGATTAAAAAGAGCTATTAACTATAACATTATTTGCAAGTGAGGTATTTTATTCTAAGTGCATGTTGTGCCAAGTCTTTAAAATGCAATATGCAAAGAAAGAGACTTCAATTGATAAACAATTTACGAGTCAATTTAAATTTTTGATTTTAATATTTATCTATCTATCTATCTATTAAATATAAATTTGTTACACAATTATTAAAAAGATAATTAAATAATCTTAGAAATAATTTACATCTTTACATCTTTACTTTGTAATGATTTAATATATTTATGCTAAAATAATTTATTATTAATTTTTTTGAATTAGTAATATATATATATATATATATATATATAATATTTGTGAATTTCTTTACATTTTTTTGGTAATAGAAAATAAATTCATTAAATAAATAATTTTTTTTATAAATTTTAAATTTATTAAAATATCTAGTGCTAAAGAAGACAAAAATAGATCACTTTCTATCATATGATATATATATATATATATATATATATATGTGGTTTTTCAAGAATTTTCAAAAATAGCACAATATGCTAAAACTATTTAGTTTAATGATCACTTCATTAAATGATGCTTTGAGTTAACAATCAAAAATACTTTTACAATGCATTATTGTAATTCATCCTATAATCATCATCATGAATAAAAGTAGATACAATCAAATAAATTTAGAATTTAGTTTTTGTAAAAATAATACACAAAATGATTACATTATCAAATTAATATTTTGAGTCTAAAATATAATTTCTAGGAGAAGAATGATAGTGTTTGGCAACGCCAATTTCATTTGTATTTTGTGAGATTTTAATACATTTGTTCAGTTCCACAAGATATTAGTCATTTTTTGAGACTAAATTCAAATCTTAATTTAAATCTTAATGTATTGTTGTGGAGATTTTCATTTCATTCCCGATAATTTTTCATCAAAAATGTTGAAAGTTCATCTTAATAATGTTAAATTAAGTATTGACAAATACAGAAACAACGACACAAGTTTGCAAAGGTAGATAGAGTTATGCACTACATAAAAAATTATTTTATCTTAAAATATAGCAGTCAATCTTATTATGTCAAATAGGAACTTCACAGATAGCAACGTTGAAACCCAATCTGAAAGATGTGAATGTTCACTCAACAATAACATTTCATAAAACGTCCATAGAAAAGGACATTCTGATTACATTCATAAAAAATAGTTGTTACAACATAACCATCTGATTAATATTAACATATTTCCTACGAAAATGTTCAAACGCCAGACACAACACATGTCGTAGATGAGGAATATGATATTGTTCATATTACAGAATTGCAAAAATGGGGTAGCAGTAACATTTGAGTATCACTCTGCAGCCACTTCCCCCTCCTTCACGAACCTTCCTGAATAATACACTTCGCAATGTATGAACATTGTTGTCTCATCTGCTCAGAGCAGCACGTAACCGACCCTCCACATTCACGAAACCATCAGTACAACAACTTATAAATTCGGCTTCATGTACGCAGATGCCGACCACACTACTGCTCGAATTTCTACAGACTCGACTTCACCGATAATCAAACTCTTCCGACCTACTTCACAACAAAAACTTCACTTCCATGAAGACAGGGGTGGTGTGCTCGCGTTGCGCCATGTGTTGTGCGCATGTTCTGGGTTGTATCGGTCTCCTGCAATGTCCTCCTGGGGCACCGCTGCTTCCAGCTCTGCGATCTCCTCGTCTGTCAATGATACTTGCAATGAATCGATGTTGGAATCCAGGTTCTTCCTTTTCGTCGTACCGGGTATGGGTACCACGTCCTTGCCTTTGTGATGAACCCATGCCAGAGCGAGCTGGTTAATCGAACAGTTCTTCTTCTCCGCTATCTCCACCACTCGTTGTCGCAGTCTCTCGTTCTTCTCCAGGTTCTCTCCCGTAAATCTCACGTGATAGGACCGGAAATCATTTTCTTTGGCTTCCTGTGCTTTAAACCCCGCGAAAAAGCCACGACCCAGAGGACTATATGACACAATTGAGATTCCCAACTCCCTGCACACGCACCACATCGCCCATCGTGAGACACACAGCTGAATCCCAAACCCCACTCACTCACTTTGCAGCGTTTTCCGAACATCCGTGGACTGTCCATGTGCGGACCGAGATGGTGCGACCATGCCTAACATTCTCTCAGCGGTCACCACTCTTGCGCTCAAATCAGGGCAATTCCCACAGATGCCCGTCACCTGCAAGTGGGAACAATATCTTCCTCGATATCACGAGCCCACAGTGACCATTCCATCTGCACCGCAGTGATGGGATGCACCGCATGTGCACGCCTAATTTCGGACGCTGACGCCTCCGACAGCCCCAGATACTTCACCTTTCCCTCCTTCACCAGCTCCGCCATCGCCCCTACCTGCGCCATAACCCAACACTCTGAGTTCAACCTCAAGCACGTATCCCGTTTTCCAGATACACATGCTCATCTCTCCACTACCATCGTTCGACATGCGCCCAATCTTTAGTTGCTTCTTCATGAGGATTCTGATTATTACATAGTTCCATAATGACCCATCTACCAAGCTCGTCAGCTGCCATGTTCGTTCGACCAATCAGCAGGATCGCAAGAGCAACCGGCGTACTAACCGTTATCTCGATCGGAACTTTGGTGTCGACACGATGCTGGTAGTAGAGATCGATGCAGTCCACTCCCAGCCTCTTCAAGCTTCCTTCACATGCTTCTCGCACGTACTCAGGGTCACCTCTTATGCTGTAATTTCCATTCTCGTCGATGTAGTTGGCGAACTTCGTAGCGATCTGCACTTTGTCCCGAATGCCCTTGATTGCCTGCACCACATCAATCCACATCAAACCATCAATCCATATCTTCGCCTTTGTCGCAGCCAAAGGTGAACAACTGATGGATCATCCTTCAACCCAACTGTTCAGCTAAAATGCAAATTTCGGTTTGTTCAAACTGAACGATGCGACATGAAACCTGAATGAATGCACTCGGATTCGAAAGCTGAGACACCCACCTTGCCCACAAGCATCTCATTAGTATGAGGTCCATACATATCCGCAGTGTCCAAAAACGTGACCCCTCTTTCGACAGCGTGGTGAATCAAGTCGATCATGTCCTGCTCCGGTGCTGGAGGCCCGTAGAACTGGCTCATGCCCATGCACCCCAGTCCCTGCTGCGACACTTCCAGACCCTGAGACCCCAACTTCACACGAGGCACTTGGGACGCCATGACTTCGACCACCGACTCGATAACAACACCACTGCTAACTGGATCCTCAATGCAAAGTCTGCGCAACCCTCTCCACAGTTTCAGCACAGTTCGATGAGCTTCTATTGTGCACTGTTGCAGATATAAAGTCGGCCAAGGTTAATAAAATCAACAACCACGTGTCACCACAATCGCACTTTTGCATAGAGATCTAGGGGTGTCAACCACGAAGCCTCGTAGGGAGCTTCGGTGAGGTTCAATTCCTTCGATGCCTGCGGATGGTCTTAACATACTAAATGTGGCGAACAAATATTTTCCTTGTCATCGCCAATGTATATGTGTTTCCCTATAAACTAGCCAAGATTGCTTTTGAGGATAATGTCTTTTTCCAGCAACGGCGCCTCTGTGCAAGATTTAGGGTTCATGGCCGGGCTTAATTTGCCAACGCATTAGTTATCAAGAGATTGTGTGATATTTTATTTTTATTCTTTGTATGTGTTACTCTCCGTGGATTGCACGACCTTTTCATCATTCATCATCTTGAATACATGCCTTATATTCGTGCATGTTTCTTAGTTGCGTGTGGAATAAGATTGTCATTCTTTTACAGGTGCTTTCATGTTGGGCCACTCAAATTAGCTGTGCAAAATTATTTTTGTTGCTGTTACATACATTCTTGACTCACTTGTTTGCAATTCATCTTTACGCAGTTCTACCATTGAAATATGTTTAATGAATACAGATGGTAATATTTTATTTTATTAGTTTTAAGCTGTCATCAATATAGGATATATACAAAATCTATATAGGTGCGGCAAGGTTAAGAAATGTGATTTTCTCAGAGAACAACTGAAAACAATTTGAGAAGTGTTTGGTTTCAGAATGAAACTGCTTTCCCAGCTGGAATGAAGAACTCACTCTACCTGGATGATGATTACGCAGGAGTTTTTAGACTTGGGCTTCATCTGTGAATGAGATGTGTTTAGTTTAATTGAGCTTTGCTACAACTACTTCTACTGGAGCTAAGTTCTACTTAAACATGTATGAACGGAAACATACATTGATAAACAAATATTGTTGTTTGAGGTGTCGTTCTTGACTTCATAGGGAATTTTGTGGATCACATTTAACTCACTGTATTTTAAACTATCTGTATGAAACCAAAAATATTTTGCACCTAACTCACCTACCATAACATGCACATTATAGTGTGGCTTATGCAACAGAACAAGAGAGTGGCCACGTCTGTGCAACCTTTCTCAGGTATCAAAAGATAATAAACATTTCTTAAGATATACCTGTTATTTTTTGATGTGTATAATAGTGGAAACCCTTGCCATTAGGCACTGCAATCTCTGGGATATTCATCCATTTCCTTGTTTATACATGCTCTTGTTCATCGTGCCCATGTTCCTTGGTTTCCTAGTTCCTGTGTTCTCCATATTCCCCACATTCCTTGCTTCATGGCCAATCAAAAGACTTCTTTGTCTCTTTGTGTTAAACTCAAGTTGTCTTATATAATGTATAACTTGGATTTTGTTGGTTTTTTTCTATAAAATTGTATCTATCTTTACTTATTAAGCACTCTATCATGATTTTGAAGAGATACCTTAATCAACCATTATCTTCTTAATGATATATCCTAACATTTTTAATTAATCTAATATGACTTTGAAGAGATATCTTAACCAACCATTGTCTTCTTCCCAACCTATAGATTGCCACATATATACAATAAACTAAAATTATGAACACCATCTAAAATCTGATAAATGTTTGAACCACCTTTAATAGATTTAATTTATTTTTTTAATTTATTTTAGAATCTTCTAAAAATCCTTAAATTTTGAATGGTTGAATAGAAGTAAAGAGATCTTTTATTATCTTCTAGCTGCTTTTATAGCCATATAAAGTCTTCATTACAAACTTATATATCTAGAATATTCTATGGTTATCAAAACCTCATCTAGAAACTTCTATAAGAGATAAGATCAGAGATTCATTAATTATACAAGCAAATCATTTAAGAATATATATAATTATTATTATAATTTTAAATTTAATATAAAAGTCCTTCATTTCTTTATTTTTTTATATTTTTTTATATTTTTTATATTTTTTATCTATATATCATTAATAATTTGATAAGATAAAAATAAAATAAAATAAAATAATTTTATTTTATATTATTTTATTTATACATAAAATAAACATATTAATTTTTTTAAAGTAGATTATTTCATATTAAATTTTATAGATTATATATATTTAAATTAACATTTAATATTATTGTGGAAATTTTTTTGTTATTAAAATAAAATAAAATCTTAATTGATACTATTTTTCTTTAAATTTTTTAATTTAGTATCTTTAAGAAGATATTATAATATGTTTTTTTAAAATAAATAATTTTTTTCCATCTAATCTAATATTTTTAACCTAATTTTATATTTTTATAAAAGAAATATTAATTTTTTATATAAAATATATCTTAAAAAAATTAATGTAACTTTTGACATCTTGTATGTGATAATAAAAAATTATAAAATATTTATTTTCATATTGTTAAAGCAAAAATTTCTTAAAACTTCTTGAATAAGTAATAATACATTTTAAATATAAAATCTTAAATCATGATTAATTTTTCCAATTCTAATTGATATTCTTTCTAATTCTTTGGCCTTTTGTTTTATATATATATATATATATATATATATATATATATATCTAGATTATAGGATATAGATAGAAGTAACTAGAAGTAAATAAATTTGATAATATTTTCTATAGATGCTTCATAAATACAAATTTGACAAAATTCATCTTTGTAGGTGGTTAGTAGGTTAAAAACTTGGCTATCAAGTTAACTACATATTGTATATATTTGTGACTTGTGGCACAAGTTGATTATGTAGCGCACATATATGAAACTTATTTTGCAAGTTAGATATATGTCAGAGGTCTTATAGAATGCTACTGCATAGCTCTTAATTAGATAATGTACATAGACGTAAGAGTGAAGCTGTCTTTATTCTTTTCAACCTCTTTTTAATCTTTAGTCTTGTTTCAAGAGTCTCTAGTTTTTTTGTCTTTGGAAATAGCTATTTTAGTTTTAATATTATATTATTTATAATTAAATAACTACTCTTTTTAAGTGACACAAGAATATATTAATATTTTGATTATTTATATTTTATATCCTTAATAATATGTAAGAGTTTTTATTCATTATATCTTATTTTATTTTTAAAATGAGTTGATCACTCCAATTTTTTTGTTGTATTTTATAGATTGCAAATTATCTACTTTTAAACCAATATATATAAATATATATATATATATATATAAATATGTATATATATATATATATTAACATTAATTATTTTTAAAAAGAAATATATTATCTTTTTTTAAAAAATATGTATTTAATATTAGAGGTTATAATTTTTTTTTTTTTAATTTAAATGTAGATATTTTAAGCTTGGTGCTATCTCTTTGTTTCTTTGTTTTCTTTATTGTTGAAGAGTAATAGATAGTTTTTGAATATTGAGAAGTGAGTCTGTGGAATAAATCAAAGATTGATTTATGAATTATTGATTATGTAATTGGAGTATTATGTAATTGGAGTATTATGTAATTGAATTATATGAGAAGTTATTGGAAGATTGATTATAGATGAAAGATTATGATTGTTGTTTATTGAGAGTTGTGTGTGTGTTTCGATAGAGGAAGTCTGTGATTACATAACATTTGTGAATCCATATTGGTTGGAGTGAAGTCTGTTATTCTTGGTGTTGGATGGAATTTATGAGTTTTGAGCAGTCTTTTAAGAGTGCAAGGTTGCACACTGTTGTTATTAGTTGATGAAGGAGTATTGTTACTAGGAGGAAGCATTGTAGTGTTTCTTGGTATTTTAGTGGTTCGGAATACAGTTAATCGTGTGACCCTAACAAGTAAAGCTCATGTATTTAGTCTTTTCCTATGTTCGAATTCTCCTATACAGGTTTATTCTGAAAGGAATTTGTAGAATAAGTAAAATGACAATTACATTTTGGCGCCATTGCTGGGCATTGATAATAGCATTGAATGTTAGGAATTAATTGCCGGATGAGTAGATGGGAAATAGGAAGCAAATTCAGCAATATATAATGAAAGATTATGGTTATTAAGAATGAGAACATTGCAGTAAAGAAAACATGCCAATTAAAAGAAAGACAAGAGAGAGTGCAAGTAAGAGAATCATTACAAAATGAGCAAGAACATAAGTTAAAAAGGAAGCATTGACAAAGTTGGATTAAGCCATGGTTGCATGCCTGCCGACATATCCAAGCATACCCAAAAGCTAACCGATCTCTAATATTTCAAACATATATACTGTTAAAAAAAGTACCAAGAGCACTCTCAAGAAATTTTGTCAACAGCCCATCGTATCTCTTGAGCTCGTTAACTGCAAGTGGAGGAAACACAGAAGAATTGGGTACTTCGTTGGATACCTTCCCATTAGCAAAAACTACCGATTCTATAAAAAATGGTTCTGTAGAATGGCATAAATTGCTTGCCAATAAGGGCCAATTCAGCGTATTTCAAAATCCATCATTTTTACCTCCAATTCAATTAATAAACTTATTTAGGGATAATAATAGTAAATTGAGGAGGTTGAAAAGTCTGAAAAAGATAATTGGAGAAGGCAGTGATAATTTTAATAAGAGATTAAGCGGCACATTGTCCTCTTCAATGGCGACGGGTGGTCCAGTAGTTTCAATAGCTGTATAAATAAGTGACGTGAGCAATCGTACAACGAGTGTGGCTCTATTACTTACTTTTAGGGCTTTTCAGGTGCAGATTCCGATCAACATTTATCGCAGTTTCTGACAGCATGTATAGCCAATAATGGAAGAACTGAAGATATTTGGTTACGATGGTTGCCAGCAACCTCAAAGGACATGGTATTTGAATGATACAACTGCCAACCACTGGATCAATTTCCGAATTGGGAAGCATTGAAGAATACATTTTTAACCCATTTTTGGCCAATAGGTTTTGACGATCGTCTTCGAGAGAGGTTAATAAACAGCAAAATGATCCTCAAAGAGGAGGTGGAATCGTATTATGGCCGGGTCGTTGATATACTCAATA